TCATGGAGGCTGTGGCTGGGAGACACAGCGAGACTCTGAAGGCAATGGTGCAGGCCTGGCCCTTCAGCCACCTTCCCCTAGGGGCTCTGATGAAGTCTCAGCGGGCTCCCCAGGACGTGTTAAAAGCTGCACTGGAGGGGCTGGATGTCCTGCTTGCCCAGAAGGTCCGCCCCAGGAGATGGAAACTGAAAGTTCTGGATTTACGGGTGAATGCTAACACCAACTTCTGGAACAGGTGGTCTGGAACCTGGGACGGGTCCTCTGTGTGCTCATTCGGGGATCCAGAGGTCAGTCAGCCCAGGATAAAGAGGATAAAAGTGGACGATTCAAGGACAGGGGAGAAGCAAACCTTGTTCCCCTTGGAGATTCTCATAGACCTGTGCCTCGAGGAAGCCACCCAGGATGAATTCCTCACCTTCCTCATTAAGGGGATCAAGCAGAGTAAAGGTTGGCTACAGCTGTGCTGTAGAAAGCTGAAGATAGTTGCGATGCCCCTCCAAAATATTGAGAAGATTCTGACTATGTGCAGGAGGTGGAAGTGAATTACATCTAGGAACTGTCCACCCTGGCCAGGTTTGCTCCTCACTTCGGCCAGATGTTTAAACTGGGCGATGGAGGAGTAGGTGGAGAAGCTAGTTGCCCAGTTTAGCTCTCAGTTGCTCTGTCTGCACCAGCTCCAGAAGCTCTACCTGGGCTCTGTTCTCTTCCTCAAAGGCCATCTGGATCAGGTGCTTAGGTGCCTGAAGAACCCCTTGGAGACCCTCACAATAACTAACTGCTTGCTTTTGGAGTCCGACTTGATATACCTTTCCTTGTGCCCAAACACCAGCCACCTAAGGTACCTGAATTTGAGAGATGTCAACCTAACTGGCTTAAGTCCTGAGTTCCTCTAAGTTCTGCTAGAGGAAAACTCAGCCACCCTCCACCACCTGAACTTTGATGGGTGTGGGATCACTGACTCCCAGCTCACCACTATTCTGCCTGCCCTGGGCCGCTGCTCCCAGCTCACCACCTTCAGCTTCTGTGGAAACTCAGTCTCCATGGCTGTCCTGGAGGGCCTGCTTCAGCACACCCTCCCGCTGAGCAAGTTCAGACTTGGGGTGTTTCCCATTCCACTGGAGTGTTACCTGGGCATCCAAGGTACTCTTCAACAGGGGAATCTTCAAGTGTACCTGTCATACCTGAGGCTGATACTGCCAGAGTTAGGGCTACCCAACTCAACATTGATCAGTGACAGCGCCTGGAACTATGATATAATGTACGTGAAATAGCCTCCTTTTTGTGATCTGTTGTAATTATACTCCGTTTTGGGATGTCTTGTAAATTCTTGTAACAGGACCCCTGGTAGTACAGTGATTAAAGTGCTCGGCTGCTAACCCAAAAAGTTCAGCAGTTCCAACCCACCAGCAACTCCGCAGGAGAAAAATGTGGAAGTCTGCTTCCGTAAAGATTTACAGCCTTGGATACCCTACGTTTTTCAGGTTGATGAGTGAAATCATCATGTCTCTGTTGGTTGTTTTTCGTTTCCTTTATGTAAAAACCAAGTCAAGGAATATTCAATGCTTATTGACCATATGGATTTATTCTGCAGTTAACTGTTCGCTCATTCTTTGTCTAATTTTAAACTTCGTTCAATTTTATAGATTTCAATTTATCCTATTTTAGTGTAGAGTATTAAATCAATGTAGATACTGTTATTGGCTTTATTTGTTGTTATATTTTATATATATTGAATGCCAATTTTCTATTTGCATTTTACACTGGGAGCATGGATTTTTTAACACAGATATGTATATGATTTTAATGAAAGAAAAATAAATTAAAACTATTTTGGTATTGTTTTGTCCTTTGCCTTTTGATTTCCTTATAATGTAATTGTCCCTGGATGGTACAAATGGTTTGAGTTTACCCAGAAGCTCCATACAGCCAAAAAAACCCTACAGAGCAGTTCTACTCTTTAGCACATGGAGTCACCATGAGTCAGGATGGACTGGACAGCAGTTGTCTTTTTTCCTCTGCCTGTCCCCTCTTTTTTCCTTAGTTCCTTCCCTCTGTCTGTTCTTCTGCTCATTCTCTCTCTCCCCCTCTCTATGTATCCCTCAGTTTGCCTTCTTCACTTCATTTCTCCTCCTTTCACTTTGGATACCTCAGTTTATTTTTTCCCCCAAACAATAAGTTTATTGTGTTGTTCTTGGATGCTGTTGAGTGAATTTCAATGCGTAGCAACCCATGTGACAGAGTGGAACTGCCCTATAGGGTTTCCTTGGCTGTAATCTTTATGGAAGCAGATCATCACATCTTTCTCCTGTAGAGCTGCTGGGTGGGTTCAAACTGTCAGCCTTTTGGTTAGCATTCAGGTGCTTAATCTTTTGTGCCATGAGAACTCTTTACCTTTTGCTGAATAACCTCTCTTTCGCCACAGTATTTTTTTTCCATTCTTACCTTAAATTCTCAAGTGTAGATGAGTTTATCTCTGGACTTCCCCATCTGTTTCATTGATTTATTTGTCTTTCTCTTCTCTGGTACCAAAATCCTTGAATTATTCTCACTACACTTTAATATTAGTAGGTCTAATTATTCTGCCATTTCACTTTGTTTTATAATGTTCCTGGTTAAATTTACAAGGTAATATTTTTCAGCTTTTATTTCGTACACCCAGGATATGCTAAAAAGCTTGGGAGTGGACAAAGAATCTGAATAAACATTTCTCTAAAGAAGATATATAGGTGGCCAGGAAGCACATGAAAAGATGCTTGACATCAATAGCTATCACGAAATGCAAATCAAAACGACTATGAGATACCACTTCACTAGGATGGCTGTAATTAAAGAGTCAGATAATATTACAAAGAAAATGTTCTACATCCTTCTTTGGTGAGTAGGTTCTGGGGTCATAAAAGCTCGTGAGCAGCCATCTAAGATACTCCACCACTGGTCACACCCCATCTGCAGCAAGGGAGAATGAAGAAAACCAAAACCACAAGGGAAAGATTAGTCCAAAGGACTAATGGACCACCAGTACCACAGCCTCCACCAGACTGAGTCCAGCACAACCAGATGTTGCCTGGTTACCATTACTGACTGCTCTGACAGGGATCACAGTGAGGTTCCCAGACAGAGCAGGAGAAAAATTCAAACTCATGGAGTATGGCCCCAGACACCCTTTTAACTCAGTACTGAAGTCAATATCCTGAGGTTCCCCCTTCAGTCAAAGATTAGATAGGCCCATCAAACAAGCAATAATACACGTAGCTCAAACATGCATAAGAGACTAAACGGGCACATCAGCCCAGGGGTGAGGACAAGAAGGCAGGAAGGGACAGAAAAGCTAAACAAATGGAAATGGGGAAGCCAAAGTCGAGAAGGGTAGAGTGTAGACACGTCACAGTGTTAACAACCAATGTCACAAAACAATATGGGTAATAATTGTTTAATGAGAAACTAAATCGCTCTGTAAACCTTCGTCTAAAGCGCAATAAAAGAAATAATAAAATAAAAATCTTTTTAAGAAGGTCAGACAATAACAAGTGTAGGCAAGGATGTGGACAAATTGGAACCCTCATACACTGTTGTCAAGAATATAAAATGGTGCAGCTGTTGGTGAAAAGTCTGGTAGTTCTTTAAACAGTTAAATGTAGAGATACTATACCAAAAAAAAAAAAAAAATCCATTGCCATCAAGTCAATTCCGACTCATCGTGACCCTTTAGGACAGAGTAGAACTCCTCATAGGATTTCTAAGAAGCGCCTGGTGGATATGAACTGCCAACCTTTTGGTTAGCAGCCCAACTCTTAACCACTACGCCACCAGGATTTCCAGAGTTACCATACGACCTAGCAATTCCACTTTTAGGTATATGCCAAAGACAAATGAAACCATAAGTCCACACAAAAATTTGGACAACAATGTTTATAGCAGCACTATTCACAATAGCCAAAAAGTGGAAATCACCCAAATGTCCATCAACTGATGGAGGGATAAACAAAATGTAGTATGTCCATATAATGGGATATTATTCAGCTAAAAAAATGGATGAAGCACTGATGCATGCTTCAACATGGATTAATCTCAAAAAAATGCTGAGTGAAAGAAGCTAGACACAAAAGACCACGTATTGTCCGATTCCATTTACTTGAAACTTTCCAGAATAGCACAAACCATAGAGACAGAAAGTAGATAAGTAGGAGGGTGGGGAGCTGCAGGAGAAGAGGCTGTGGGAGATGGAGTGGTGGTGGGACAGGGTGGGCTGACTACTAATAGGTATGGGATTTCTCACTGAAGTGATGTTCTGTAATTGTGGTGACGTTTGCACAACTCTGTGAATATACTAATAACCATTGAATTACGCACTTTACAGCGGTGAATTGTATGATACGTGAACTATATCTCACTAAAGATATATATTTTTTAAGCTTAGGGGACAGGGAAAGGGGAAAGTTTAGAATTTTTTGTATCCCAAGTGTTCAATGACAAACTCGCACCCACAAAAGTTCACTTTCTTGATGGGAAATATAAATGTCCCAGCTGACAAGAAGCACAAAAACATCCCTAGAACAGGACTTGGTGCTGTAAGGTTCTAGAATGTGCCAGTCACTACTGGGGTCAGGAGGGATGGCCAGCAGGTGTGCTGGCCCTCCTCACATCTCAGGGATCATGTGGGTTCTAGAACAGGGACTTGTGTCATGTGAGTTTGGCCAGGAGTGGACTTCCTCAGGCCTGAAATTCCTCAGCCATTACACTCACTTACAACCTATCCACTGAGGCCCCCGACCCACATGCTCAAACATGCAGCCACATCAGCAGTGCAGGTTCTCCTACTGCAGATTACACCTTTCCAAGAATGTCCCATAATCTACTTTTTGAAAATATTCCCATAGTTCATATTCTTTTGTTTAGAAGATACTATCATTGGTGGGTGTTGGGGTGTTTTAGAAGGAGCCCTGGTGGCCCAGTGGTTAAGAGCTTGGCTGCTAACTGAAATGTCAGCAGTTGGAACCCACCAGGCTTTCTGGGGGAGAAAAAATGTGGCAGTCTGCTTCCTTAAAGATTTATAGCCTGGAAACTCTATTTGAAAAAAAAACATTGCCATCAAGTCGATTCCTACTCATAGTGACCCTACAGGACAAAGTAGAACTGCCCCATATAGTTTCCAAGGAGCACCTTGTGGATTTGAACTGCTGGCCTTTTGGTTAGCAGCCATAGCTCTTAACCACTACACCTCCAGGGTAGAAACTTTATGGGGCAGTTCTACTTTGTCCTATAGGGTCACTATGAGTTGGACTCGAGGAAGAGGAAACTTCTGGAATGATGCCATTGTTCTGTATTTTGTTAGGGCTATGGGTTACACGGGTGCCTATAAACAGCAAAACTCATTAAGTAGTTCACTTAAAATTACTCACTTCATTGTATGTAAAAGATTTATTTTATTCAAAATTGAAAAGGTAACAAGAAAAGATAAGTAAACGAATAAATAAATTAATGCAACCACTTCTTTCTTGTTGACCTGCCCCTACCTAGCCTCCCTAAGTGGGCAGCTATTTCTAGAACATCCACAGCCCCTGGTCCAACCATCATCACCGTCACTGGACTACTGTAGTTCCCTACTGTTACGGGTTGAATTGTGTCCCCCCAAAAGATATGTTGAAGTCTTAACCCCCAGAACCTGTGAATGTGACCTTGTTTGGACATAGGGTCTTTGAAGATGTTATTAATTAACATGAGGTCATATTGGAGGAGAGTGTGTCCTAATGCAACATAGCTGGTGTCCTTATAAAAAGAGAAGAGACACAGACAGACACAGGAGGAAGCAGCCACGTGAAGACAGAGGCAGAGAATGGAGTGATACGCACATCTATAAGCCAAGGAACGCCAAGGATTGCCAGGAACCACCAGAGGCTTCAAGAGCCCAGGAAGGACCTTCTCCTAGGCCTTCAGAGGGAGCATGGCCCTGCCCAACTTTGATTCTGGACTTGCGGCCTCCAGAACTGTGAGACAATAAATGATTGTGGTTTTAAGTCAGCCAGTTTGTGGTACTCGGTGATGGCAGCTCTAGGAAGCTAACACACCTCCTGCCTGGGCTCCTGGCTCCCCCACCCTCCAGCCTGCACACCCACCCCAGTCTGCTCCCCACCAGCAGCCAC